TCAATATATTAGTGTATCATCCCCATAGGATATCCATAATCGACTTGAGGTCAAGTTCCGTTTTACCTTCCCGATTACATTTATCTTATGTTCCATTATCATACCATCGGAAAAATACTATTCGTATCATTACAAACAGTAAACCATTAGATAAAACAGAGTAGTCCAATGGCTGAGCGTTCATATTTTCCATTCCACTGATAATGCATAAGAAGATATCATTGACTCTTTATAGGAGCTATGGATTCCACTATCTATGAATAACGAATCTACGCATACACGAGTCATACCCCCAATGTACCGGCAAGCGTACCTTTACATAATGTCAGGATGTCTCCCTTTAGTACATCAAAGGATACAAGTCAAGCATACGAGTTCATCATCCATCTCAGGATTAAGATGACAACATATAATTCATCAAAAGTGAATTGTTTTATTCAAACAGAATTATTAATTAAAACAATTCAACTTTGGTCCGATCCAATATAGATTTCACCATTAGAAACTATATCAATGTCTCCACCCATGGAGTCCCACCTCCGACGACCAAGACAAGCCATCTCCGTTAGGAAGTAGACAACATAACAATCTTAACATGAATAAAGCACCCAACTTTATTCCCTCGATTGTGGATCATAAGATTTAGACTATCATCTTTAGATTCTTGTCTTCCGCATGTTCTTCACATTACATGCATGACCTAAAGATTTAGAATGACAGTCTCAGACTTTCAGTTTGCTTATCATACATTCAACTATTATGAACATAAAGAGGACAATTCATAGATATATAAAATAAACAAATCTTTATTAATAGTCAAAATATCTCAAAGAATATTGTTACATTTATTCCTAAGGGCATAAACGCTAACAAAGAGAACCTCTTGATGCATATGGTTGATATCATTTCTGGCAAAGTTTAACCAATTTAAGGTGAGCTATAACTGTCAGAAAGAGACTTGGTCTCTGAATGAGCTCATATCACACTGTGTTCAGGAAGAGGAAAAGCTGAAACAAGATAAGGCAAAGAGTGCTCATCTGGCCTCAACCTCTAAGGACAAGGACAAGGGAAACAAAAGGAAGAAGGATAAGGAAGCTACAGATATGGCACCTCAGAAGAAACAATAAAAGAAACTCGGTCAACCAGAAGGTACTAGTTGTGTCTTCTGTGGAGTTGAAGGGCATAAGAAGACGCATTGCACACTTCTTAATTTGGTTTGTTATGATGTTAATTTAACTTCGGTACCTAGACACATGTGGTGGATAGATTCTGGTGCAACAACTCACATCAGTGTGCCTATGCACTGGCAAAGTTTAACCAATTTAAGGTGAGCTATAACTGTCAGAAAGAGACTTGGTCTCTGAATGAGCTCATATCACACTGTGTTCAGGAAGAGGAAAAGCTGAAACAAGATAAGGCAAAGAGTGCTCATCTGGCCTCAACCTCTAAGGACAAGGACAAGGGAAACAAAAGGAAGAAGGATAAGGAAGCTACAGATATGGCACCTCAGAAGAAACAATAAAAGAAACTCGGTCAACCAGAAGGTACTAGTTGTGTCTTCTGTGGAGTTGAAGGGCATAAGAAGACGCATTGCACACTTCTTAATTTGGTTTGTTATGATGTTAATTTAACTTCGGTACCTAGACACATATGGTGGATAGATTCTGGTGCAACAACTCACAGCAGTGTGCCTATGCGGGTTGCCTGAGTTACCGAAAGCCAAGTGATGATGAAAGATACATCTATGTGGGCGATGACAAGACGGTTCAAGTTGAGGCGATAGGAACATTTATATTATTATTAAAGACTGGATTTTATTTGGATCTTTATGAGATATTTATTGTACTGTCTGTTAGATAGAATTTGATTTCTATTTTTGTTTTGGACAAATTTGGTTATTCTTGTTCATTTGGGAATGGAAAATTTAGTTTGTTTCATGATTCAAAATTGGTTGGATCCGGTTCTTTGTCACGTTATGATAATCTTTATTTAATTGATACAATTGCTTTAGTTAATGAATCCTTGCAATTAAGTACACGAGGTATAAAGAGAAAATTAACCAGTGATAATTTGGCTGCGTTATGGCATAAGAGATTAGGTCATATCTCCAGACGGAGAATAGAAAAACTTATGTTAAACAAAATTCTAGACCCCTTAGATTTTACAGATTTTGATGTTTGTGTTAACTATATAAAAGGGAAACAAACCAATAAAAGGATATTTGAAGCCAACAGAACTTTAGACGTCTTAAAACTTATATATACGGACATTTGTGGGCCATTCCCTACGGTTGCTTGGAATGGTCAACAATATTTTATAACGTTCATAGACGATTTTTCTAGATATGACTACATATATCTCATTCATGAAAAGTCACAGTCGCTGGATGTGTTTAAAAATTATAAGGCTTAAGTTGAGAACCAACTCAGTAAAAGAATCAAAAGCGTCAAATCTGACCATGGTGGTGAATACTATGGTATATATGACAGTTCAGGTGAACAACGTCCAAGGCCGCTCGCTAAGTTCCTAGAGGAATGCGGTATCGTTCCACAATACACTATGCTGGATTCACCCACTATGAATGGTGTTGCTGAAAGACGAAACAGGACGCTTAAGGACATGGTGAGGAGTATGATTTGTCATTCTACCTTACCAGAATCACTCTGGGGAGAAGCGCTTAAAACTACAACATATATCCTTAACAGGGTTCCAACTAAAGCGACTGCCAAAATCCCTTACGAACTTTGGACGAGCAAGGAGCCTAGTTTAAACCACTTGCATGTTTGGGGATGTCCAGCTGAGGCAAGGCCTCATAGGCCTAATGAAAAGAAACTGAACTCAAGGACAATGAGTTGCTATTTTATTGGATACTCTGAAAGATCCAGGGGGTACAAGTTTTATGATCCCACAACTAAGTCAATTTTCGAGTCAGAAAATGCCCAGTTCTTTGAGGATGTTGAGTTTGCGGGGGGAGGTACAGTCAGGGACTTTGTCTTCGAAGAGGAATATGTTGATATTCCCACAGGTGCTATTGACATTGATCAAGATCTCATTCCTGACCTTGTTCAAGACACAACAGATCAAGACAATATCAGAGAACTTCCCATATAATAAATTGTTCCAGAAGAACAAACTCTACCACCTCAAGAACCTATGCCATTAAAGAGGTCCACTAGAGAAAGGAGAAGTACGGTGCCAGATGACGACATTGTATTTCTCCAAGAACATGAGGTAGACATTGGAGTAATGGAAAATGATCCGATCAACTTCTGTCAAGCCATGGAAAGTTCTAACTCTCAGAAGTGAATTAATGCCATGAATGAGGAGATTAAGTCCACGAAGGACAATGACGTGTGGGATCTTGTCCTATTGCCAGAAGGTGTGAAACTCATTGGTTGCAAATGGATATTTAAGACCAAGAGGGATTCGAAAGGTGGTGTGGAAAGGTACCAGGCTCGTCTTGTCGCAAAGGGCTTTACACAGAAAGAAGGTATCGGCTATAAAGAGACTTTCTCTCCGGTTTCATCGAAAGACTCTTTTAGGACTATAATGGCATTGGTGGCGCATTTCAATATTAAGTTACATCAGATGGATGTAAAGACATCGTTTCTCAATGGAAACATTGATGAGACAATCTATATGGTGCAACCAGAAAACTTTGTGTCGGGAGACCCAAAGAATATGGTTTGCAAACTTAAGAAATCCATCTATGGGCTTAAACAAGCATCTCGACAACGGTATTTCAAGTTTCATCAAGTGATCATCTCGTTCGGTTTTGAGATGAATTTGATCGATGATTGCATATACCATAAGTTCTGTGGAAGCAAGTATATTTTTCTAGTTTTATATGTCGATGACTTTTTGCTTGCCAGCAACGATATATGCTTACTGCACGAAATCAAGAGATTTCTAGCTAAGAACTTTGAGATGAAAGATCTTGGTGACGCCTCTTTTGTATTATGCATACAAATACATCGGGATCGCTCTCGGGGTATTCTTAGATTATCACAAAAGAGCTATATCAAAAATGTTCTCAAGAGATATGACATACATGATTGGAAACTAGGTGATACCCCTGTGGCTAAAGGAGACAAGTTTAGTTTCAATCAGTGTCCTAAGAATACTTTTGAGGAAAAGGAAATGCAGAAGATTCCTTATGCGTCAGCAGTAAGAAGTCTGATGTTTGCTCAGGTTTGTACGTGAATGAATATTGCGCACATTGTTGGGATGTTGGGCAGATATTTAAGTAATCTAAGAGTAGACCATTGGAAAGTAGCCAAACGAGTCTTACGGTACTTACAGAGAACAAAAAACTGCATGCTCACGTATCGGAGGTCAGATCAGCTTGAGATCGTTGGGTATACTAACTCCTATTTTGATGGGTGCCAAGATAGTATGAAATCTACGTCGGGCTATATCTACCCGTTAGTTGATGGTGTTGTCTCCTGGAAGAATGCTAAACAGTCTCTTATAGCTTCTTCTACCATGGTAGTAGAGTTCATAGCGTGTTATAAGGGATCCAATCACGGAATATGGCTGCGATTTTTTGTCACGGGGCTACGCATAGTGGACGATATTGAAGGACCACTCAAGTTATTTTGTGACAATAAGTCGGCAATTCTGTATTCCAATAACAACAGGAGCTCAACGAAGTCGAAGCATATAGACATCAAGTTTCTAGTTGTTAAAGAAAGAATTCAGAGTGGATAGTTGTCTATAGAGCATATCAGTACAAACTCCATGGTTACGGATCCGTTTACTAAGGGATTGCCACCTAAAATGTTTCATGAGTAAACTGCTCGTATGGGTATCATATCATTTGAGGATATTCAATTTTAGTGGGAGTTTGTAATTTTAGATGCTTTTATAATATGACATGTTTTCAGTTATTTCAGTTTATGGATATTTTGAGGTTATTTTTTGCAGAAATAAAGTTTTGGTTTATTCACAATCTGATTTTGGTATGGTTTGATCTTACTAAGGTTTAAGGTGAATCAGTTAAAAATAAACATGTTAAGATCACATTACATAAAATTTTCATGCTACACATCCACACCCTGATCCATGTCATTCAGTTGTATTGGCATACGTGATCATTGATAGGTCGAATTACAACAGTTGTAACGAATGCCGCTTTGATCCTGTGTTGGTATGATTGATGAACCATATTGGTTACAGATACATTTCGGTAATGACAACAAGTTGAGCTCATACGGTTATTTTTGCAAAGCATAATTATAAGGTTACATATATAGTCTAAGTGGGAGATTGTTAGATCCTTAATCCAACGTTAGGCTTATATATGAATAATTATGTGTTGCGAGCTGTAATATAAGGTTAAACCTAATTAAAAATGATCTATTAAGGTTTGGGTATTTTGGACTTTAATGTATCTAACAGAGTGTGGGCCTTTAATGTGTAGAGACCTAAGGACAATTTCTATTTTTATGATAAACTAAAATAACAATACCAAAAGATAACATGGAAGTTATCTATAAATAGCAGTTATGGTCCCCAGATCACACGTTACATTTTATTCCTTCTATTCCTTCTGACATCCTATCATTAGAGAAAGTATAGAGAGAAAGTTAAAGGATTCTGTCACGCCCCGAAGCAGGGGTTAGTGACGTGGAAGCTCGTTTAAGAATTAAACATGATTAAGAAAAATAAAAGTAAAATATTAAGGAAATCTCCAAACGAGCACTACATATTACTGAAAATAAATTACAAGAAAGTTACGGGGTCATCCGCACTTTCTAAATCGTTCAGGGCTTCACCCATAGGATATGCAACATTATACATACATGAACATGTAAATAGCATTACAAACATCAACCACAGTCTAGAAATCCAAGGTTCAGAGGTTACAGAATTTACAATTCTTATATTTGTACACCAGGAGGATGAACACAATCCTCTCAATCAGAGGGTAGCAACTATCTCAACTACTCTGCACTACTACTAGCGTCGCCTGGGAATGGTTTAATATTTATAAAACAAATAAAAACGTGAGCGAAAGGCCCAGTATGATGTAATTTGAAATAACTTTATAAATAAGTAAATAAATGAGTAAGTAAATAAATAAATGAATAAGCAATTAAATAAATATAGACATTCAGTTCCAACAAAATAGCCGGAACCTCACATCCTTTTTCTGAAAGGAATATAAACTGAAAACTCCGTATTACAGGCATCAGCAAGTAATTTATACTACGATAAATTACTTACACAACCACAAACACAAGCCTTATCACCCCCGGGCTGGGTTTCGGGTTCTGCTCCCAAGGATGGACTTTCCACATCCTATCTTGGCCATTAGCCGGTTTACCGATTCGCAAGATCTCTTGTCTTAAGAAATCATTCATTAAACTTTCTGAAATAGTTCATTATAATTCCAAGAGCTAAAATCAAGCTATTGTTTTGAAAATGCTTTTCTTTCGCAAACATGCCCTCTTTATAAAACATTTGCAAGGTCAAAACTCTTTTAAAATCAGGCTGACAAAGAAAGGGATAAGAAATCCT